TTTTTTTTTAGATGGAGTTTCACTCTTGTGACCCAGGCTGGAGTGCAATGGCACAATCTTGGCTCACTGCAACCTCCACCTCCTGGGCTCAAGCCATTCTCCTGCCTCAGCCTCCCAAGTAGCTGGGATTACAGGCGTGTGCCACCACATCTCACTCATTTTTGTATTTTAGGTAGAGACAGGGTTTCATCATGTTGGTCAGGCTGGTCTCGAACTCCTGACCTCAGGTGATCCACCTGCCTTGGCCTCCCAAAGTACTGGGATTACAGGCATTAGCCACCGTGCCTGGCCCTACTGGTTATTTCTCAAAGCTGTACATGTATGAGATATGAAATTCTGAGTGAGTTTGTATTGAAAACCATCCTCATAATCAAACCAATATTGTTTGTAGCCTACATTTCTGGAATTATGCCTTCTAGTTTGCAGTTAAAAAAATTCAAAGTCTTTCATGAAAATGGAATATGTGTATGTTTGCTATTTCACATTGGCTCTTTTTAGTCTCTTATGACTTCTTACCCCTATTCATCAACATATCATCAGTCATTCCAAATACGCTGTACAGGATTCCTCGAAATGTGTTACAATCTAGCCCAATGTTACCAAATCTTCCACCAGCTCTTCCCACCAAGCTGTAGAAGAGTCTTATGAGACACTCTAGCTCACTTTTTTTGACTGTAAAATGAAGAGAAATAAATACAACTTAATCACTGAGTTATTCAATCCAATTAAATATGATCAGCAGATTAACATTTTTTATTGTACAGGAGCACTGGTTCTTACGGTATCATTTTTGGACCATTTGTATGAGAATTAATCCCCTTCCACTGCCCCATGCTTGCAGTTTCCCAGAACTTGCTCTAGATCTGCTAAACCAGAATTGTTAACAGCAAGCCCTGGAATTAGCTTTTGAACAAGAGCTCAGCTTCTATGCCCCAGGAGTTGAGAATCTTTGGGTTAAGCCACTGAAAATTTTGGAACAGGAGAGGGGCATAACAGTAAAAGTGGTTTAGGAAAATCCATCTGGTGAAGCTGCATTGAAGTAAGAAAGCTGGAAACATGGAAGCCAGGCTTGGAGGGATAGTGTTTGGGATAGAGAGGTGGAAATAAAGACAGAAAGCTAAGGAGGGAGCCTGAGATGCTACAGAAACTCACTCAGTCTTTGTGACTGATCAGATCTGCAGTGTTCAAATGGAAATTTTTAAATATGCACATACCTGGTTCTCACTCCAGCCTTAATAAAATGCTATTTTGAAGAAGCACACAAGCATCTCATGCACTGTCAGGACTGAGAACCAATGGGTGAGACTTTGTGGGCTGGGAATCCAAGACTTAATAAGCCCCTGGGTTCCACTTCCATTTCTTATCCTAAATAGCTGAGGGACTTACACAAGTCAGACAGCTTCTTTTTGTCTCACTGCCATCACCTGTAACACTTAGTGATCTCTGAGATTCCTTCGGTCTCTAAAAGCATAAAATGTAATCTTTTTTTTTTTTTTTTTGAGACGGAGTTTCGCTCTTGTTACCCAGGCTGGAGTGCAATGGCGCGATCTCGGCTCACTGCAACCTCCGCCTCCTGGGTTCA